ATCGTCAAGATACGGAGTCAGCATAGGTACCCCTCGTTAGAGGAATGGATAATGAAAATGTGGCCCATATATACACTGGAATTTTATTTAGCTGTAAAAAAAAAGCAGAAATTAGGATATTCACAAGTAAATAGATGGAATTGGAAATTGCTATGTAAGCAAAATAATCCAGACTCAGAAAGACAAGCTTTGAGTGCTTTCTTTTAAACTGGAATCTAAAAAGATAAAACACACACACACACACACACACACACACACACACACACACACACACACACACGCCTCTCTCAGTTAGTTTCACCAGCAGACCAAGAGTTGGCATTTGTCTATTTCCTCCTCTTGATAACAATACTATATGCTAATACTATATGCTGACATGCTCACCAAATACAGGGGCAAGGATTTGATGTCTTCAGAGCTCTGCCATCGGGCCTGGCCATAGCCAAGAAGAGGATCCAGTGTCCACTCAGCTCTGTCTGTTATTAAATCTCTTCAGTTCTGCCCTTAATCTCTGGGCTTTATTTTGACAGGGGCTCTGGCAGAAACCATGTGAGTGAGGCTCTGCATGATGAATGGGTGGACCTTGCTGTGCCTAAGCTGTCACATAAAAGCAGCTGTCCCTGCTCCTCTGAGCCAAGTGAATGACATACCTTATGATGGCCTTGGTGAACACAGAGACTGTGTATGTCCCGGGTATCCTGGAATCTCGGACCAGGAATGCTCCTTCTTTACCCTGGATCGGGGAGAAAGTATGCAAGTTTAGTAATCTCAAAAACCAGGCTCCTGCACCCGGCTCCAGCTTTTTGCTTGTGGAAGGAGGAAGTGCTGAATGGCATAGAGGAGGCTTTCTGTTGTAACAGCCACCATTTCAATTACACATTTGGCAGTTGCTCATGTGAAGTCCTACACAGATAGGCAGACAAGGGCCCTCCCCCTTACTGTTCACCAGGCACCAGACTCATCAGACATTTCCCAACCCTCCCCACCCACCCCGAGTCTGGACACCAGTATCCCCTTTGGCAACAAGCACAGTGAAGTGGGTGCCAGAGGGAGTGAGTGAGTGGCTTTTCTCTGGGTCTACAACTAGTAGGGACTGGAGTTTGAGCTTTGGCACCTGAGCAAATTCCATGACCTTTTCTTGCTCCACGATGCTCCAGGTGATCTCCTACACCTGTTCAGGGACACAAAACTTATCCTGAAAGCTTGCTGAGTTCCTGGATGGGGCTTTATTTCTCAGATCCCTCCCACAATGTTGATTTCACTGGTGGGCAGGAGGAAAAGAGTGCTGGAGAGAGGCAGGGAGAGGAGAGTACATGGCGATTTTGCCTGCTCTGATGGAATCAGCAGAAGCAATGGGCATGCCAGTTCCTATATTCCTGATGGGAACTGTAAAACCTGAACTGTTTTCAGAACTACATCCTCAGCTCTTCTCCTACTGGTGATAAACATATGCAGAGCTTGGTGATTATGACTTACTTAAATTACACATCTTGAGGGCCACAAGTGAAGGTCAGAATTGGAGAGGAACCTTATATGGAAGCCGTATGGTTTATATACACAGGGAAAGTAGATAACAGAAGCCCCTCCATCCTTCCGTCTCAAAGGAGAGTTTCTGAGTAAACACAGGAACACACACACACACACACACACACACACACACACACACAGAGAGAGAGAGAGAGAGAGAGAGAGAGACAGACAGACAGACAGACAGACAGACAGACAACAAGATGATATGCATTCTAGTAAGCATTCTGACTATAGATTTGCCTATTGTAGACTTTATTTTTTTGGTAAATGGAATCATATGTGGTTTTCTATGAGTGGGTCCTTTCATTTATGCTATTGTTTCCAAGGACCACCTAAGTGGTGACAGGTATAAAGACTCCACTCCTACTTGTGGCTGAGTGACATTCCACTGTAGGGACAGACCACAGTTATTTTCCATTCATCAGCTGATAGTCACCTTCTGGCTGCTGGATTGTTTTTCTCAACAGGTTGTTTATGGTATTATCCACACAAGGTAGGCGGGATAAATTGTCTTCAATTTTGACTTTTTGCCTAATAATGCAGCTTTGGATTATGGCTGCTGGGAATGTGATGGGTTAAACTTGAGACAGGAAGAAACAGCCTTCAAGCAGAGGCAGATTTTATCTGGTTATGTCATTTATTCTAAAGGAAGAAGCACAGACCAAAGGAGCAGAAGTTCACCAACTATCTGAAGAGTGTAAACACCTCTTATCTAACCAATAATATCAGATTGTTTGTTTGGGTGTTACTCTTTCAAAGAAGTGACTGTGTTTCTGTAAACAAGCCATGACTATAGCAGTCCTCAGCTGTTAGGGAGAGTAAGTTGTCTATAAACACAAGGTGAGGGAGAGGGGAGGGTCATGGTCAGGTCTGCAGAGCATGGAAAGCTCTGCTTCCCCCAAACACCTTCTTTCTCCATTGCATTTGCTGTGGGTGGCATTTGGTGAAAGCCACATGGACTCTCATTTGAGCTGAAGCAGCTAAGAGTTTGGAGGAAAGCGCATGCCTTACCACACTTCCTGCAGGGAGCTGAGAGGTAGACACAGTCACACAACCACTGAAGAAGGTTGCAGAGGGCACTGACTTGTATAATGTTGCCGGATGGGGCTTTACTTCCTCTCAACACAGTCAAGATCTCAGTTTGCTTTTTATTGCTCCACTTAGAAAAATACAATACAGCAACAGTAGAAAACATTATGTCAAGAGGTAAAATATGTGTATGACCCTGGTGAGATGGGAGAAAACAGTAACTCATGTACTTCCTTATACTGTCTATTTGAAGACACATCCCTGCTGTGGTGAGGCCATGCCACTGATTCACTTTCTGAATGTGGCCTCAGTTTATCAGCCTTTAATACAAAGGAGATAGACCAGGTGGTCTTTGAAGGAACTTCTAGTTACAACAGCTTGTGGTATTGTTAATTCCAGATGTTTCTTGTTAAAAGTCTACATGTCTGTTTTCTCATCTGAAAAATGAACTTTCCAAGACTATTGGGAGACTTGAGTAATAAGCACAGAACAGTTCCTGGAATACAATCCCAGGACATGGACTATTAGGGTTATTAGTTGCCATTATTATCACATGCTGTGGTGTAGCATCTGTTGGAAGCATGCGTTACATTGTTCATCTTCATCTGAGACATGTTTTGGCATGTATGTCCTGTTCATATGATTTGAAGGTGACTTTGTAGAAGGTAATCTCAAAACAAACGTGTGTTATTGTCAAAGACAGGCTGAAGCTTTGTGGGCTAATCATGCTGAAGTATGATTTAAGAATGTCTCTGACTTATATCTTTCATTCTGTAGGGACTCTTCCCTCAAAGCAAACCCGTTATTAAGTCAACATTGCATTTTTGATGCTATCTCAGAATCACAGATAAGCCTAGGTTAGGCTCCTATCTGAAATGTGGGTCACCCAAAGTGTGAGGTGCTGCTGCATGCATGAAGATAGTTATAGAATACTGCTAACAAGGAACTGACCCTATCTATAGATGGGCTAAGGCTAAGGGGAAATTCTGAGATTGAAGGCAGAATGCAGACAGAACCACTGGAGAGGTGACATTGCACCTTAATGTTTGATCAAGAACTCTCACGGCTAGGCAGAAGTCTGGATTATTATAGGAGGTGTCGGTCAGCTGAAGATCTGACAGAACATGAAAGAGATTCTTTTCCATGTTCCTAAATTAACGTAAGTCACATAATCACTGAATGCCCCTGGAGAGGTTCTGATTGGGTAAGCCTGGGGTTCAGGAGTTTTATTGAGGGGTGTTGTGTTTTAAATTTTTTATGTTTCTGTGCATGCTCTTGCATGAGTTTATATACAGGAGCCTGCAGAGGTCAGAAGTGGGAACTGGATCCCCTGTGACCTGCCATATGGATGTGGGTTCTCTGCAAGAACAGTAAGCATGCTTAGCCATTGAGTCATATTTTTAGGCCTGAATTTGTGTCTGTAAAGCTTCTCCAAGGATACTGATGACCAGTTAGGCTCCTAGATATGGATGTTAACTTAAAACAGAGTAAGCATTTGGTGAACTCATTGATGCAACAATTAATTTTTGAGTAACTACTTTGTGCTAGATATAGTTTGGGGTATCTAAGTGTCCCAACCTGCAGGACATCAACCTGGGGCAAGAGAGTCAGGGATAGGGAATGGGGACAAGAGACGCAGAAAGAACGACCACAAGACAGGATTCTGATCAAGTGGCAAACTTTACTTTTCTCAGGCTAGCTTATATAGTCAGGATATGGGGAGGGGCAGAATGGGTTGTTTGTGCACCAGGTGTTAGTATAGGCAGGATATTAGGAAGTCACAAAGAGGATGTTTGGCAGGGTAAAGAGTTCATGAGTAAGAGGTCCAGGAAGGGGTTACCTAGGTGACTGAGCCTGTGGGTGGAGGACTGGGCCAAGTTGTTTCTTTTCTTGAGCTGAGATTCTAAGGAGCTGCTATGTAAAGGTTAACTATGTGACCTGCCAAGCATGGCCTAGGATCTCATGCCAAGCCCTGAGATTTGGCTCCCAACATCTAAGCATAGTAGAGACAAGGTAAAATGGTAAAATGGTAAAATGGAGAAATACACATGTACATATACAATATAGTCTATAACTACGATGCTTTAGTTAGTAACAAGGGAAACGAATACAATGCACCTCTTAAGAGTCATACTTGTTAGACAAGAAGACTCTGAGTACACTGGTAGAACACCACCATTGAGTCAGATAGCAAGCATATATAAAAAAAGAAAGAGCATCTTATCCCATTCTAAACATCAAGAACCCAGACTAAAGCATGCAACGGCCTTCTGAAGTTTGCCTTTACACTCACCAAAGAAGGAAGAGAGTATTTGGTAAGTGAACTTAAAATATTAGCAAGAATGTCTCAACAGCCTGAGCAAGCAAAATATGTCTAAATACCTCAAAAAATGGCTCAACAACAAGAATTGCTTTCGTTTGTCATTGATGTGGGCTGTTTAAAGCTCTCCACTGACTTTATTATGGATGAGACAGATTGTAATGAAAACACCCTCATTAATCAGCACAATGCAGGGACTTAGTTGTATGCTCTTTGTAGCTAGTTCTTACCTGTCAAATTTTACTGTTTACCAGCAATACAGGCTGAGGAATGAGATGACCTGGCTACATATGCATCCTATGCCCAGTTTAAGAAAACACAGGAACCAGGTGTGGTGGCTCACACCTTTAATCCCAGCATTCAAGAGGCAGAGGCAGGTGGATCTCTGAGTTTGAAGCCAGCCTTCTCTTACAAAGTGTTTTGCAAGAACTTCTAGAGCTGTTACACAGAGAAACCTGGTCTCAACACCCCCCCCCCAAAAAAAGGTTCCTGAGAATCACTTTTGGAAGCCCTGCTTCTGCAGCTCTACCATGAAATCTTAGCATCTGTGTTTTGTTACATTTATTTGTTGTGTGTACGGGATGTATGAACCATGGTATGCATGTGGAGGTCAGAGGACAACTGTGGGAGTTAGGTCTTTCCCTTCACCACACAGGTCCTGGGCCCTGAACTCAGGCTGTTGGTCTTGATGGCAGTGCACTATACCCACTAAGCCATCCCACAGCCTCCCCGCCCCTCCAGAATCTGCATTTTCACTACCTGTAGCAATTCAGATATGAGGTCTGTTGGGAACCACAGGAAATGGTTAATTGCTGAGAACCAAGGAGAAACAAGCATCCAAGAAGGACTCAGTTCAGTTCCTCTCCCCCTGGCTACACTTTCCAATTCATTTGATCTTGGTTTCCTTTCCACTTGCCTCTAATCTAACTCTACATTGAGTCTTGGTTTCCAGTGGGGGTCCAGATGCAATGGCAGTCCAGATGCTCCTGGCCCTGTGTGCACAGGGCCAGGAGCACACAGGGGCAGCATCCATGGGGGCAACAGATCATTGGCACTCTGATATACTCCAATGCTCAATTTGTCCTTACTGAGAAATGGGGCCCAGGAGGCAGAGGAGAAATCCCTACAGTCACCCACTAGGGTGATGACAGAGCAGGGGTGCCTATCCCATCACATTATGCTTCCTCTCTTCTCATCCTTCTTTCCCTTAACTCTGAGATTCCAGGGAGAGGTCAGTCCCTCTGGCAGATGCTAGGCTTCAGACAGGAAACTGTAGGTGAAAACTGTCAGATTCCTGTAAACTACAGCCCCAAAAGGCAGAATCTGATCCCCAGTGAAGCATTCACAAGGCAAAGCAGAGCAGCCCTGAAGCCACCCAGGGTCAATTCACTGCAGCTGTAACTGTTAGCAGTGGCCTGCTGCCTCCCAAGTTTCCTCTTCTGTGCCTTCTAACCCTGACAGTCCTCAGAATATGTGTCCTCAGACATGAAAGCCATTGTTAAGCCAACACAGGAATCTACTACATCAGCAGAACCACACAGTTGGAAACTGTACAATTTCTTTGTAGTCAGTAAACAGACGAAGGAGACTTACCGTGTCCAAGAGAAGTTTTTCAGCTTTGTCTCGGCTGATGTTTTTATTGTACCACCTGGAAGCCAAAAACAAGTCATGTGTTACAGTTTGAAAACTATCGATTATTTATAAAAGACAATGCTTGAAAATTACATGTTTGCTTTCTGTTTCTACCAGTGATTTCAAACTCAAAAGGAAAGCTGTGATCATTTCCAGGAGAAGAAAAAAAAAGTGAAGCAAGAGTTGGCATAATACTGGTGATTGTTAAAGTGGAGTTTCAGGGCTTTTTATTATGCTCTCTGCTTGTGTGAAAGTTGGAAAATTTCCATGATAGTGTTGTAGGAAACATTCATCTCCCCTATGTCATATGTCAGTGGGTGGCTCTAAGTAGGAGGGTGTTAGGTAGCCATAAAAAGAACGTTAATACTAATTTGCAAGGTTTGCAAATATCCTTTCAAAGCAGTTGCCATATTTTCTTCTTAAGACTGGACGGACCTCCAGATTTTGCAAAGTTTTTGTAATTGATGAATGTAATTAATAAATGGCAAAAAACAGGAATAACTTTTAAGAATGAAGTTTTTGAATGTTATTACAATGCTGAGACATATCCTGACCATCCTAATCACTTTGATAAGAGAAAATGTGATGGAGGGGGTAGGGACCGCCCAGGGTTAAACAGAAGAAAGACAGGAAGTGTCCATGCAGCTATTCAATGTCCATGCATTTGTGTACATGCAGGACAGTCAACAGCTCATGAGGATACGTAGACATGCAAGTTGGTCAATATTCCTGTGTGGTGTGCAAACTGACCATGTCTCTCCTTCAGCCCCCTTCCTTGCCCAACCTTTCTCATTCTAGCCATTAATGGTAGTTTAAAGTATCCAATCAAATATATACAACCATATATAACACACAAAGAAGCCACAAATGAATAAAAACCTCAGCCCTGTAACATGCAGGGCTCTCTAGCACTTGGATAATAATTCCCTAGGAGCCTGAAGGACAGTATAATAAATTACTTCCTGGTAAAGGAAGCCTACAGGGTCTCATTTCTGGACCGGGAAGCCTGCAACAAAAGTAGAATGATCACCAGTTGACAATTTGTTTTAGAAATTAATAAACACAGGAGAGGCTCTAGGTGGGTAAGGAAACTTGTTTGGCTACTTGAGGACATCCAAGAATAAGAGAGCCAAGGGATTCTCTTGAGCTCTTAAAACACAGTATGGCAGAGCAGATTGTAAACCTCCACAGGCTCCCAGAGATAAGCCAATGGCCGGCAAGCATGCTTCATCCCATCCAAGCCCCAAGCAATACACAAGGTTGCTAGATACGTGCATCTAACGTATGAAACAACTCGGGTCTCAGTGGACAATAGTGTCACAATAGAGTGATGTCTACTTGATTTCAGTGCACAGGTAGTGAAGAGGAGTATTTGCAGTGTAGTGTTTTGCCTGCTTCTGTCCTTTCTAACCCATCCTTTACCAGAGGAAGGATCAGAGCTCAAATGGGGTGAGTAGATGCAGAAGCAGTTTTGCTGTTTTGTGATTTCAGTTGCCCACAGTCAACCCAGAAAATGCTAAATGGACAATTCTAGAAATTAACTACCATAAGTTGTGAGTAGCATGGTGAAATCTCATGGTGATCATCTAGGCTATAAGTCATCCAAGAGACAACATATCTGCTTACATACACTGTCTAGATGTGTGGGTTACCAGATAGACTGCCACAGTATTGCTGTGCTTGCATTCAAGTGACTCTTCCATTATGCAAGAGTAGTTTTGATGGCAATTTTACTATAGTATATTGTTAAAAATTATATTTCATCACTAGCCATTCGTGTTAATTTCTCAATGTATCTAATTGAAAGTAAACCCTACTATGGTGATATTTTGCTTATGATCTAATCAAGCTTGCCTGAAGATCAGAGTGCAAGGCTAGCCATAGCCATAGATGCCAGGCAGTGGTGGTGCACACCTTTAATCCCAGCACTTGGGAGACAGAAGCAGATGGATCTCTGTGAGTTCAAGGCCACACTGGGATACATGAGAGTAAATCAGTCTAAAAGAGAAACAGAGCTCCCAGCATATGGGTTGACATGTCTTTAATCCAAGCACTAGAGAGGAATAATAAGGCAAAAACAGTCTAATACAGTCTAAAGTTTTGGGTGGAGAGCATTGCAGGCTGCAGTCATGCTGAGGACAGGATTGCCCCTCTTTGGTCTTAGCCTTGGTTGAGGTAAGAACTCTCTAGTGGCTTGGCTGCTTTATTTTTCTGATCTTCAGCTTGAAGCCCAATATCTGTCTCTGTGCTTTTATTACTTGTGCTACATCCTACCATAGGCTGTATAGAGAGGGAAATACAGTATATTCTGAGTTCAGAACTACCTGCAATTTCAGGTCATGGAACACAGCCCCAGAAATAGTAGGCAACTTGTCCAAAGTCCAACCTCTAAACCAAGACAGGAACTCTGAATCCAGTTAAGCTACAAAGCCATCATTCTCTTACCACATGACATGTTTTTGAGTTGTTATGCAAGACTCACCTGAAAGTAGTAAAAATTAAGTTAAAGAATAAAAAGTCCGTGTAGCTTTTCTATGTCTAGCTATATATTAAATGTCAGAATGTTTTCTTATGTTACATTATTTTCTAGCTGGGTTCCATAACCCAGAAAATGCAAGCTGGTGGTGCATGTTACAAACTGGTTCATAGACCATATGGATTTTATTAAGAAAATGACGTAAAACCCCTTTAGGTCAGAGATAGATATTTTTACTTGTCCCCAGAGTTCCATCAAGTCTCTACCATTTTTTTTATTTTGCTGAGGTTTTGAATTTGCTTCTTGAAGCATAAACAAAGGGATTTTGGTTACATGCCAAAACAAAAAAGCTATTCAGCCAAGTAGTCATTTGTAATAACTAATTTTTTCCTCCAAAGACATTGACTATAAAACAATTATTTCAGCTAAGTATCGCTCATCTGTTTCATCTCAGCACAAACATTCTTGGAAAGGATGAATCATCTCTCAGCTCAGGGAAGAGCAATTCACACATATTTGATCAAAGTGTTGAAAGACACTCATGAAAATAGCACTTGGTTACTAGCATCTACTCAGATTACAAAAACCATTACAGTGGCCACACCGAACTAGCAAAAATCCTGAAGTGGAAGTCCTGGTTATCTTATATACTTCTTCTATGGTGTTTTATATTTAGTGAATATTAATTTACTTATTTATTTTGGGGGGTTATTTCATCTTCAGGTTACAGCCCATTGTCATGGTTGGAGTAAGTGACTAACTCTGTTGCATTAAGAAAATAGAGTATTTTCTTTTCTTTTTCCTTCCCACCTTTCTTCCTTCCTTCCTTCCTTCCTTCCTTCCTTCCTTCCTTCCTTCCTTCCTTCCTTAATTATTGAGATTATAATTTAATTAGAACACTTCTCTCTTCACTTTCCTTCATCCAAACCCTTCCACACACTCCTCCTAGATCTCTTTCAAATCCAAAGCCTTTTTATTTCCCCACTAATTGTTATTGCACTGAATTCTAAATATAACCTGTTTGTTCTACCTGTATGTATGTTTTCAGGGTTGGCGATTAGGCACTAGACAACCAATTAGTGTATTCTTCCCTCAGGTGCTTGTAGTTCTTTGTGTAGGATTGAGGTCTTGTGGGCTTCTCTCCAACCAGCTTAGCATGTTCATGTCATCCTTGTCCAGCTCACAGCTTTTCAGTTGTGTTGGTAGGATTTTATGGGTATAGCTTCTGACATTATTAGGAGATACAGCCTCAAAGCAAACTCAAAAATCCTCTGGCTCTTACTATCTTTCCATCCCATCTCCTACAACATTCCCTGAACCTTACGTAGGGGAGTGTTTTGTAGATGTATCCTTTGGGATTGAACTCCAGGATGGCTCAGCTAGTAAAAGTGGTTGCTGAGACAGTTAAACCACTGTAGCATAGAAGTGGGAAGAGAGAACCAGCTCCAGAAAGTTGTTTTCTGACCTCCACACATCATTCATGGAACATGCAAGCACATCCTCACATATATACAATAATAATAAACTTTACAAACTTAGAGTTATAAAACAGTATAAAGGAACTCCCATTGACCCTTTTCCTAGACAAACCAGTGGCTGAAAGTTTATATATTTACTATCCTCTCTAGATAATTTAGGCATATGGATGTGTATATTTAATTATTGTGTTTATTATTGTCTGTGTATGGTGTGTGTGCCTGTGTGTGTGTGTGTGTGTGTGTGTGTGTGTGTGTGTGTGTGTGTGTGTGTGCGCGTGTGTGAGCGCACCCATGTGTGTAGGTCAGAGGACAACTTTATGGAGCTAATTCTCTCCTCTCACCTTTATGCACATTTGGGAATCAGACTCAGATCATCAGCACATAGCAAGCACTTTACATGCTGAGCTGTCCCATCAACCCTGGTGTATTTGCACAGCAAGAACTTTACACACCAAGCCATCATATCAGCCCTGGTGTATTTTTCCTGTGTTTCTTGAGAGTAGACTTTCATTTCTAAGTACTCAGTGGTCTGTTTAATATCTAACAAATATCAATTTAATATGAATTTTAATATCTCCATATATTGCCTAATTGCAGACTTTATCAAAATTGTATTACTTTTACCAATACTGTGTTAGAAATAACACATTTTTATGGTTATAAATCCTATCCAGGATTACTTGTGCTTTTAGTTACTATCTTCCTTAGTTTTCTTTAACAGGGACCAATTTTTCAGTTTTTTGTGGCTTTCATCATACTTAATGTTTTTGAAGATTAAAGGCCATTTATTTTATAGAATTTGGATTTGCTACTGTATTCTCATGATTAAATTCATTGTGTATGTTTTGGAACAGGGATAATGGGCAATATTTTGGAGCCATATTGGGATGAATTTGATCATAAGATGGGTCTACCAATTATCTCCACTTTGTAGTTACAACTGATTTATGAAGGGATTAGTTTGAGCCTGTAAATAAAAAAACTTTTATTATATTTATTACAGTCACTCCTTGGTTGTGACATTCATTGATTTTTGCCAGAACTAATACTTAGAGCTACAAATGGTGGTTTTCAAGCTTTGTCATCCTTCTGCATCTATTAGTTGTCATTCTCCTAAGAAAGAACTTTGTTTCATTTAGTTACTTACAATCAATCTACTTATTATGGATTATTACTTTCTTCAATCAGTTATAGTCCATTACTATCCTTATTTATTTTGACATCCAAACTGCCCCAGTCTGGTCAATGGGAGCTTTAAAAAACTCACTTCTGTGCCTGTTTGACATGATGAAATCACTAAAATAATTTTTCAAAAAAATTACTTCTTTTCTTTCTAGTGCAATAAGACATCCCAAATTCATCTTATTCTTTCCTTGCCTCAACCCTGGAGTCTTCATGCTCCACTGACTCCAGAAGTCACAGTTCTCTTTAGTGATGATGCCATGAAGAAATAAGATCTAAGTGGTAGCTGTAGACATTCCAGCCTCCAAGCTAGGGAGTACACACGCATGGTGGGTACTTCATACACCCTATTGAATTTTATCAAACAAGATTTTAACATTCCCACTAAAACTGAACTCATCAACTTTTCTTCTAAGTGATAGTTTATTGATAAACACTTAGCACAACCTAAGCAGATACTTACTACCTGTGGGTTTGAATGTTGTCCTGATAATGGCAATATTGTGTGTAACTATGTTTTAAGTCAATTGATATTTTATGTATTATTCATAGGGATTTTTTTCTCAAGTGACCAATACTTGGGATTCCCAGTAAAAGATTTCTCTTCTACAGAATATTTTCAAGGCCCCAATAACCATTTCTTAATAAAAGGGCAATGTAGTATACTGACTATACACCTTGTTCTCCTATTTGGGGTTAGACCCTTAGTGTTTTAGTCATCAGAGAATAGAAAAAAATAAAACAGGTCAAAAAAAAAAAAGAGGAACTGTTGGGAACTTTTATAGTCAATCAATAGCTTGACCTAGGGAGAAAACTTTAGTACCATAGTACTAAAGTGATTAAAAAAATAAAAGTGTGCTCGCTTCAGCAGCACACATACTAAAATTAGAATGATACAGAGAAGATTAGCATGGCCCCTGCACATGGATAACATGCAAATTCATAAAGCATTCCATATTTTTATGTAAAATTAGAAAAATTAAATAAAAAGTAAAAAGTATCTTACTCATAGGTTTCAAGGCTATTTGGAGATTTTTCCACCAGGTAACTACTTGGTGCATATCCTTCATGCCTGTAGAAAGGAAAACAAGTGTTTAGACTTGCAGAGAACTGATTTTTACATCCTGATTTAATAGATTTAATCCACTACAGTCATTTAAGAATTGGAAGTCTCACATTATTTGGCATTTGTGATAAAACATTTTAAAATGCTGGGATATACAGCTGATGAAAGTCACAAAGATATGCTTAGTTGAAAGCAACACACTCCACCACAAAATATAAAATATAATAAATAGCAAGTGACTATTTAAAGGCTCTGCTTGCTGTTCTCATCATCATGAGATTTCCTCTACTGGAAAAAATTACCTTTTAAACTTTATTTTCTGTAATTAATTTTTGTGATAATCAGTATTTTTCCACTTTATGCCATCATTTTCCGGTAAGGAAATCAAATTAATTAAGATGTAAGGCCCCAACTTTCCAGCCACAGGTCCTTAAAGCCCATTCCCAGTTGGTGCTGTCCACTTTTAAGTTGAAAACCTCCCTAGCTGAGCATCTTCAGATAAAGAACCATGAGAGAGAGGAAAAGGTCAAGTTCAGCAGAAGGCCCATGCCTGTGATCTTAGTACTCAGGAAGTTGAAGCAGGAGGATAGCTGTGAGTTTGAGGCCAGTCTGGGTTATACAAAGAGTTCCAGGCCAGCCTGAGGTGAAGCATGAGACTCTGCATAAGATCAAAAAAGGTCAAGCTAGATTCCAAGGTCAAATGTCACATTTGAGCTGGAATTAATATTAGAGAAATAAAAAAGGGCAAAAAGTTAATAAGCACTATCAACACTTTTTATATTGTATGTAGCTTTGAAGATCTTGAAGCCACTTTGTATTCACCCCTCAGCACCAGACAGCAGGTAAGGAGTCCTTCAACTCTCTTGGCTTCTGGTTCTTACTAGTGAAACTTGATTACATGTAAATACCTCCAGATTCTACCAATGTACAAAAAAGATGTACAAAAGTAGACCCTTCTTACAGTCTTTCAATACTTAATATTAGCCAGCATTGGCTTTTCTATATCCTGTTTGGGGCATGCAAACTTGGTAAAAATTTTAGGAGAAATTATCCATTAAAATGAAAACATCATATACTTTGACTTAACATTTCCAAAGTTAGAATTGAGATATATGTGCACATATATGTAGGCATCCAAAAACTTGTCATGCTACAAAACATTGCCAAGTCCGCATTCAAGCATTGTTCAAAATAATCCAGAAGGGGCTGCAGAAATGGCTTGGTGTATAAGAGCACTTGTTACTCTTGCAGAGGGCCTAGGTTTGACTCCTATAAGCACCAACATGGTGGTTCATAATCATCTGTAAGTCCAGTTTGAGGGAATCCAATGCCCTTTTCTGACCTCCATGGGTATCAATCATGCACATGATATACATACATACATCCAGGCCCAACACTCACACATGTTAAAAAGAGGTGAGTTTCTATGTGTTGATATGAAAATATTTCTAAGAGGTATGATACAAAGATAAAGACAAAGAAGAGAACTGATCATTTGAGCAAAATACACAAAATGCACTTGTTTTGACCAATTCTTGTGTCTAGGCACACAAGGAAGTATTAACACAAGGAAGAATACGCGGTGACTATGGAATTGATGGATTTTCATGTATACTTCTTTCTACAGTGAATTTACTTTCTAAATTTCTTTTTCTTGCTTCATTGCAGAGGACTGAACCAAGGGCATCATGCATGGTGATACACACACACCATCCCTGAACTCAGCTTGCAGACTCGTTTGTGTGGTTTTTTTTTTTTTTAGTGAAATATTGACTTGGGATAGTGATATTTCAGTAATGGAATATTTTCTTTCTCTTGTTTCAAAATTAATAGTAATTTAAAAATATTAACACTTGATATTAATATATAAGAATACTGGTCACAGTAATTGTTTTAGTTTAGAGAAGGGCTCATGAGATGTTTTTCATTCAAAACCCCAGATTTGGCCATAGTATTTGTAGAACCTTGTTGTCTCCATGCATCATTTAATGCTTGCTCTCATAATGAACTCTCTGGGGCAACCTGAGACTGTCTAACATAACCGCTACTCCACCATCTTTACACACCTTTTCTTTCCACTTTCTTCCCATAAGGCACAGGGGGTAAGTATGGCAAGTGGAGGCCTCTCTGATACTTCTGAGAAGAGGAATGACTAGTTCACTCCTATCTCCCTTCCACCAAGCTCACCTCTGCTTTCCTAATGCAGCCTCGGGGCAGTTGAAGGACGTGGGACATTCTTTCCCATATTTGCTTCATTCTCACAGCAGCCATGCACTGGACTTACCCGTTCTTGTCTTGAACCCTCCACCAGTGGATCTCGGAGCTGTCCAGAAGGTAGTACTCTTCATCCTACTGCAGGGCAAGCTCCTGGGGGTCATTGGTTTGGTAGTCATACAAGGCAATGACCAGGGTTTCTTCGGGTTCCTGAAGTGATCTCTGGGCAAGAAACAACAAAACCAAGCAAAGACATAAGAAGGGGGTGAGTCCCAGGGATCCTGGATTTAGACTAGGTCAACATGCCAGTTCCCTCCACCCACTGGCATCATTTGTAGAGACAGCTGTCTTCCTCCAGTTGGCGCTCTTTATGAATTAGAATTATGGGCTGAACAGATACAAACAGCAACAGTATGCACTTCTGTCATTCTGTGAGGTAAATTCCGACCCCAGTTAATTCCAAGAAGCCATGCACTTTTCATAGAAATTTATTGGTTTTTATATTGGTTCATCTGATTCATGGACTTGTCAAGATCCATCAAATCAGAAGCTACCAGGGCTGGAATTCCCTCAAGAGAACATTTCACCAATGTTTTTATTTAGAATGGAGATTTAGATCCCATGGCAGGGAATGAACATATCCAACTCCCAGAGAATTCATCTCAATGCTCCCTCTACAGTAACACATGGCTCATTTCTTCCCCTTGTAGAAACCTTGACCTATGTCTCTGTTCCACACTGTGGTGGTTTTAATAGGAATGTCCCCCATAGACTTATGTGTTTGAAAACTTGGCCCATAGGGAGTGACACTATTAGGAGGTATGGGCTTTGGGGTCTCATATGCTCAAGATACACCTAGTGTGGCCGAGTGTCTCTGCCTGAAGGTCAAGATTTAGAAGTCTCAGCTCTTTCTCCAGCACCATGTTTGCCTGCACACTGCCATGTTTCTCACCATGATGATAGTGGACTAAACCTTTGAAACTGTAAGCCAGCCCCAAATAAACACTTTCCTTTATAAGAGCTGTAGTGGTCATGGTGTCTCTTCACAGCAATAGAAACCCTAACTAAGACACATATCATATTTCAATTAGGATGAAATATTAATGACATGAAGAACAGCTCATAAGGCAAACAACTGCTGGAAGTCAAGATGAACACATGTGAGACTGAGTGATAAATTTGGGAACAAAGTAAATATGGGAAAAGATGGAGTTACTGGCTGGAAGGTGATGTAGTGTTGGAAAGTCACAAATTCCCTGAATACACTGAAATCTGGTATTTATGAAGCTTGAAATAGGTGGTGGGTTGGATCCTCCAGATAGCTAAGAGCCTGTTGACCTGAGGCTTCATATAGAACTAACACCTGGAGAAACTGTGTTCAAGGCATTAGAAGAAGGTGCAGAAATGACATATTATTCATGTTACTGCAGGTCTTACTACCCGATTAACCCATAAAGGAAAAAGGCTAGCACAGAGGCTTAGATGATGATAGTACATTTCTACAGAGGTCATGGAGAGCACATAGTGGGATACGAAGATAGTACCAAGTTTTGAGGGGTACCACAAGCGTTTAATAGACAAGTGCCAAGAATACAAAATGTTCTGCAGTATCTCACAGACTTTCCAGCTTCTGAATGTCTTAATAGACATCCACATGGTAAAAATTCTGCATATAATATGATATGTAAGAGGCTTCTGTTGGTTGCACAATGGATAGCTCATTGGAGTTTCATGATATAACAGAAGACCTGAAAGCAAATCGAACCTCTACCCAGTAAAAAAGATTCCCAGGAGTAAATTAGTTGTGTACTGAAGAAGCTTATCCTTGTTTTAATTTAGAATTCTTTTGGGAATTGTTCGCCATTTTGGAAAATCATATCATCCATGGAAACACTAGAGCTGAGCCATCAGTAAGACATTCCAGTATCTATTGCACTTGAATTGCCAAATTCAATGGGTTCTGTCTATGGGCATTGACATATTTCATCATGTCTTCCCATACTCATGGCCCCATATTTTCATTGAGGAATATAAGCTATCCTATTTTGTGCTTTTATTATTACAATTAACATATTTATTGATTCTCTTAAATATTTGTTTCCATAAATTGTACTATTTAAGATTTAAAAAATATCTTTCTTTTTATTTATGTGTGTGTGTGTATGTGTGTGTGTGTGTATGTGTGTGTATCCATATGTGTGCATGCCACATGAGTGTTGGTGTCCTCAGAAGCCAGAAGAAAGCACTGGAACCCTTGGAGCTAGAGTTTCAAGCAGCTGCTTATGAATAACCCAGTATGAGTGTGGGAACAGAATGTGAATCCTTTGGAAGAGCAGTCATTGCTCTTTACTGCTAAGCCATCTCTGAAGTCCCTCCTCATGAATTCCCTACCCCCAGGACAACAGAAGGATCTTTTAAAAACATTTCTCATAGAAAGGGGGCATTAGGTTGAAGTGTTGAGAATCACTAAATTAAATCAAGGCTTGGCCTTTGTAGGAACAGAGGGCCAACAGGCTCAAGAAGGACTGGTTGAGGCCCCAGGAACAAAGAGGAGGCTTGGAAATGAGGGAACCATTTCTTGGCCACTCTACTTACTGCATGGTTAAGAATATTTCTGGGCCCTGGGAGTTCTCCTGGATGTAGGTGGGTAGAGCTCTACTACCCTGAAAGACTTCGTGAGCCAGGCAACAGTGGCAAGAAGAGGGCTTGCTTGGGAGCCAGGCAGAAGGGCACAGGCAGAAACATTTATGTGACCCCTTAGGAAACTCTTCTGGGTTAACTAGGAGAAGCCAGGTAGGAAAAGCTGAGCTCTGTGGATGACAGAACCAAAAATAAGGGTTCTGGATTCTGAACATGGTCTCATTTGCACCCATAGGATAGAAAAGCTGGGAGTATGGGTTCCTCTGACCATGGGTATCTTCCATCTTGACTAACAACAGCTACCCTGGTCCTTTGGTAGGGTACCTCCACAGTCTTCCTCAAGTAGAGCATGTCCTGGTTAGCCTTAACTGTCAACTTGACAACAGCTAACTAAGAATTATCTCGGAAGAGAGCATCAATTGAGCAACTGCCTATACCAGATTAGTTTATGGGCATGTCTGTGGGGGATTATCTTGTAATTGATGTAGGAGGGCTCAGCTCACTGTAGGCAGCACCATTCCCTGCGCAGGTAGCCCTGGAAAACCTCAAAACTTGGTACTTGGTTTGCTAGGTTTAAAAGCAAGGATAAAACTATTACCTTTCCAAGCTAATAGAAGACACAGCTTTATCATAAATAGCAAAAGTGTGGAAGTGATTTGGAATACATAAAGTATGAGCAGGCATTTTTCTCTGGAGTGCTCTATGCTGAGGCAAAAATGCAGCTTGTTACTGGTGCTTATAGACTGTGTACAGTGAGGTAACAGCTCAGGACCTGAGTGATCCTCTAAGTGGATAGACCCATTAAACACCCTTTGGTGTCGAGTGACCCTTTCACAGGGATTGCATATTAGATATCCTGCATATCAGATATTTACATTATGATGTGCAACAGTAGCAAAATTACAGTTATGAAGTAGCAACAAAAATAATTATATGGTTGGAGATAACTACAATGTGAGGAACTGTATTAAAGAGTCAAAGCATGAGGAAGGTTGAGAACTACAGCACCAAATAGCCCCCCAAACCCAGTGTTAAGTATACTCCAATTGCAGCTGTCTACCACATGCACACGAATCTGAGAGACACAGAGATCACACACAGGCTTACAGCACACAAGCCCACCTCACTTACCCTGTTGTCTTCGGGTGTAGGAGGAAGAGGCTTCTTTGAAGCTGAAAAACAAGAAAAAGAGAAAAAGGAGATGAGCATGAAACCCCAGGCTTTCAGAGAAAAGAGGCCCATGGAGAAGAGTGAAGAAAGGGGGCAGAGGAGGTGATGAAACACAGACACTGGAATCAGTCTTGCCAGACCTGTCTTTCATCTTTTGCACTTGCCACTTTCCAATTCCCCTTCCTAGAAGACATTAGAGACTTCCAAAAGCCAGTATTTTGGGAGTTTTGTATCCCCTGCCTGGGAAGGGGCCAAGATTTGGGCTCCTCTTTGTAGGTAGAGATACTTCCATGAATACACATGTCACTTTCTGAGCTCAGGAGTGGGAATATGTGACTCAGACAGTGACTCTCTACCTTCCTGATGCCACTGTGGGCTTGATGAGGTAGGAGGGTTTTGCGCTTTCTGAGTGGGCTGAGGTCTGCTTTTAGTTGCCTTGAGGCATTTGAATATATATTTTCAATGCCTCACTTCAAATCACCTCTCCTTCAAAATCAATCTCTCTCTCTCTCTCTCATCTCTTTGTGTCTTCTTATCTCCTCTTTCTTGCCTCTTTTCTCTCTTCTTATCCTTCTCTGCTTCCTTTATCTTCATCTCCATCTCTCAGTTGATCTATGGACCATGTTCCTTATATCACAGGCCAGGCCTAGAAGCTATGGACACCAACAAAGTGTGTGGTGTGTGTGTGTGTGTGTGTGTGTGTGTGTGTGTGTGTGTGTGAGAGAGAGAGAGAGAGAGAGAGAGAGAGAGAGAGAGAGGGAGGGTGGGGTGAGAGGCATGGGTGTGTGCAGAGACTTCAGTTCACTACAATGATTTCTTTTAGCACTGGAGATAAGAGAATGGACTGTATATGGAGGCTGGGAGGTTGTTATTCCTACATGTGGTAGACAGCCCACATCATGGATGTGGTAGACTAAGATCCGTATGTGGACACTGGAGCCCAATCCCATGCTGGCTCTTTGAGCAAGGGTAAGTTGGAGTATTGGCTTGTGTAAACAGTGAACAGACAAATGCAATCAGAACTCTAGCTTCTGGGCTGGGGTTATTATAACTCACTTGTATGCAAAAGCCCCAGATTTAATTACCAGTTAAAAATGCACACGAACACACACACACACACACACACACACACACACACACACACACACACACACACACACACCATCTACTC